ACCTGCCAGCAGTCAGTTCCGGTTTTATAAATCTGAGATTGAGATTTTACATGGAGAGAAAGCAGAAAAATATCCTTTCAAGCAATACTGACCTCACCTTGGAAGTTTTAAAAGACACAACCTCACAAGAAACGTGAAAGTGTGAGACCAGTCCTAAAGGCAACTAAACAAACACAGAACTCTGAAAACCCACAGAGCTGATCTAAACCCAGAATCCCGGATGGATTTTTAAACTCTGGAAAAGCCCTCACATGCTGGGCTCAGAGCTCTGCTACCATCAGTCTAACTCACAGCTCCTGGGAAAGCTCCAAAGAACAGTGGCTGACTTGAAGCATGTGCATGGCTTGGTCTAGAAGCAGTGGCATCGTGACCTTATGGTTCTGCAGAAAGGTCACATTACTGCTCTTCAACACCTTCAAATGGCTGAAGTAGGGTGTAGGACAAAATACAGAATGTTCCAAGCCACGGGACTAAAAAAAGTTCTTATATATGTGATTTGTGGTTGACTTGTAACAAAATACAAACTCCCCAAGGCTTCTCACAGTCACAACATTTAATTATCTTTTCCACATGTTTTTTTCTGAGATTTCAAAAACGCTGAGCTCCATATTGAAACCTTTCGATACAACAGGGCTCCTTTTCTAAGGTTTTCAAATATCTCACAGCCTTTAGAAATCAACGTAGCAGAGATTCACCTCAGCATTCCTTAGCCTCCCACAAGCACATCACCCCACAGCTTCCTTCCAGCCACCACCGCCAGGCCTTCACCCCATCTGCATCAGACACCGACTGAGGAGGCCATGAGTCAGCCCAGCACTGCCAGCTTCTGACTGTACAGATTCAGACCTGGTCTCTCACACTGAGCGATCTGATACTGCTGAAATTAGCAGTAAAGACACAAATCATTAAAGGATGGACAAAGGGAAACAAAGAGGTAGCGGGACTGTTAAAGCCCTACTTCCCAGGAAAGCAGCTAGAAACTATTTGCATTCTTATTTCACCACTGATTTGCATGCAGAGATTCAAATAGGAAGTCCATCGGTGGCCTGGCATCAGCCCTGCTGGATGCAAGGAGCTCCTCCCTATGGAGTGACTCACCCCACAGCAGCTCTGGCACTGCACATCCCATCAGAAGTGCTGCAGAAGTCTCCAGAACTGCCAGTCATGACAGAGCCAAGGGCCCACATGCTGATTAAGTCCTCCCCACGCCTTCATGACTCAGGTTGGCAACAGGCTGCAAAAAAAGGCTGGGCACCATGCAGCTCCCAAACAAAAGAGGCTTCAGACCTTTTGGTGCACCACCTCCCTGCACTCACACCAAGTAGTTAGGAAACAAAAGAGGAGAGAGCACATTTCCATTGGGACTAATCCAAAAAGCCTTTAAAAAGAACAAAAAACAGCACAAGTATGCAATTCACATTACATCTTTTTCATATTTTTAATATATATACACAAAACCTACCCTAGAATAGCTTAAAATGGCTCTGACACTACAGAAAAGGACTGAGTCAACAGACAAGTTAGCTATGGGAGATCTTTTTCCTACTTCCTTTTTTCAGTTTTGCCACTGACTCACAGCATGACAGAAAGCAGCTCACTTCAGTTCTCCACAACTCCAAATTCCTATCTGAACAACCAACTTAATGAACTTCACTTGTCTACACAAAATTTATTTCAATGACACTCACTGTAAAAAGGCAAATACCCGAAGCAGCAATATCACCAGGCAAGAAATTACTCCATTCACATTTCTGCAGAGATCAGTGATGTGAGCTAGGGAATGAAAACCTCCAAACACAAAAATATAGGAACATACAACCCTCATATAGCTACAAAAACTAATTTATTTAGCCACAACTATTCCACAAATAAGGAATTTAGGTGAGCTTAAGTCCTGGCTAGAGACACTTTGCTTTGAAAAGGGTTAGGTTGTGACCAACTGTACCATAGTAGAGATCTATCCACTGGGAGCAGATGGGGATCGCTGCAGTTTCTGCAGCAAGTGCTGCCAGAGGGAAAGCAAGCCAATGGACTTAGATTTACACGTGCAGTTTTGTAGTTCTGTCTGCATATCTCAAATGGGCAACACAAGTAACGAAACCACAGTGCATCCCAAAAGAATAAGAAGCAATACACAAGCAAGTTTTATTACTCAATATGGTTTCTTGCAACTGCTTGCATCAGCAATTACCTGCCATACTGTAAACCAAGTAGAGGTTTTAAGGTGGAATTAACCTCACAGAAGAGGAGGAAGAAGGAGAGAGACAAACAACCACCCATTAACTCATAACAGAGGTTAAGTCATTGCTAAGAATCAAACTGTTGTTAGTGCTCCACTCAGTGCCCACAGGACTATGATGTGCCACTCCTCTCCCATCAATGCAGGGACTTGAGAACAGAAGCAGCAGAAGCCATCAGCTCAGATACTGAAAGAATCTTAACTTCCAACATTTATCCTGCAATTTGTTGGTAACTCAAACCCTAGTAATCATAAACAATTTCAGGAGTTCATGTGTGAACTCCATTTGCATGGAAGCCAACAGAGCAAGGCAAGCAAGGAAACTTTTCCTGCTCTTCAACTTCTACAGGTCAATTAGTAGGGCAGCAAATTTGTATCTCTTCTTACCATACCATCAAACAACCACCTGCTACCATTCTTCAGAGGTCACTCAGATTTAGCTCAGCATCCAGCCTTCAGTATTGTGGAATTCAAAAGGTGCTCTAAGAAAGCAACCTCAGTTTCACTGTCTCATGTTTCATTTCTACCCCATACTGGATTTGCACAGATCCTCTTTCTCACTGTGTTTTAGTTTGTCTCCAACATTAAAATGGTTAAGTATGAGTGCCTCTGATTTGACTATTCTTCTTGTGATCCTTCCTGCACTATCCTTGAGCACAGTGCTACCTACACAAAAAAACAAGATGGCTTCATGTTTATATTAAGTGGTAACAAGCTCAGGTGTGTTACTGGGTGAACATGGGCATTCTGGCCCCTTCCTCCCATTACAAAAGATCAGAATGAAAAATTAAGCAGGAAATTGAAGTTCCTGAAATAAAGAGAAAATAAAGATAGGGTTCTGGCTTTTTTCGATTGTTGCATTAATGATCCCTGCAGAAATGTTACCAGTGATTCTCAAGAGTGACCTTATACACTTATACAAGGTTTCAGCTTGTATAAGCTAACAGTAATTCAACCAAAGGCATTATGGATCAACAGAATTTCTACACAGACACCAAATGGAAAAAAAAAAAAAAAAAAAAGGAAGAAGTCCTTATACTAACATTTAAGTAAATTTTAAGTAATTCCAATTCATGTTCTGCTACTTATCCTGCAGCTGTAGCTTGGGCAGACACATTTTGAAAACAAAATTTAAATCCACACTTCTGTTGTCACAGTTTCCTGTGCAAGTTTCTAGCACCTGCTTCTGTAAAACTGGTGTGTCGATCACACAGAATACTGAAACCATGATCCCAGGGGTGAGCACTTTCTTCAAAGTTAGCTGGGCAAGCTCCATTCTGCTGGACTTTTTGGTCAAAAGCTCTGGTAGGATATCAAGTGATTTACTATATACCCCGATATCCAGGCTAATCTGGAAGTAATCATTATAGAGGATAAATGCTGTGAAACAGGACTGCAAAGAGGTAACTTTGCAATACTGGGAGCGCCTTATGGTTTATAAACAAACACGTGCAAAAAAAATATTTGTATTCCACACTAACCTGTTGAAAAAAAAAATTAAAGCCTGATCCTCTGAGCTAAACAACTCCACCTCCTGCATCTTCCTAAGGCAGTGTGGCCATCATCTACCACAGAAGTCTTCCAGGAGCAATGTCATTTTGTCAGCATTCATGCATACCTTGTTATACTCTCATCTCACCAAGGACCTTATCCAATTCCCAGAGTGTACCACTAGTCAGTCTCAAAAAACAAACAAAAAACCCTACAATAAATGGACTAGTAGTCACTCACTCTTCTGTACCATGCAAGCATTAGTATAAGTTACAGGTAAATTAGTCCTACTCCACAAAAGCTCATTAACAAAGCAGATTCAACCAGTGCCACAGCAAACATAACCAAAGCAAGCAAGGCAGCAAAAACAGCTTTTCAAAAAAAAAGAAAAAAAGAAAAAAAAAAAAAGGAGAATGTGTGAGTTCACAGAACACCCAATTATCATCAGCAATACTAGCAGCCCAGTCAAACAGCACGTTGGGTTGATTTGGCATCACTCTTTTACATACCAGTTGAAGGTATCTGATCATCACAGAGTTCTCATTCACCTAATTAGCTGGTGGACATGCTGAAAAGAGTAGAAAGCAGTAGATAGGTAGCAGTACTTGAGCAACATTTATAAAGAAACTGAAAGCAAATGAAGGAGAGGGCTACTGATCTTCCCCCTCCCAAATCAATATCCAACTAGAGCCTTCCTTTCACCCACTCAAAACTGAAACACACTTTCACTATCAACAGAGGCAGTTTTGATTAAAATCTCTCAGTGCAGCATTCATAGAAATAAAAAGGGAAGGAGACTCCTGTTTGTACAATAGGCCTGATTCCGTGTGATATACATTGCAAAAACATACTACCCTGATTTGAAAGCACATATTGCATTAGTCCAGAGTTTAACACTTGGTTACAATGTCCTCGTTTATTTCACAGAAATCATTAACATTTACAAGTGGATGAACTCTATGAGAAAACACAGGCCCCAATTAAGCTGAATGGTTGATTTAGATTTTCCCAAAAACACATAGCATAGGTGTGTTGCTGATTCACAGCCAACAGTTACCATATTATTTCCAACGTCAAGCTTTTTTTTTGCAAGTCAGCCAGTTTTAAAAACCATGGACTAAGACTCCATAATGCCTTTAAAATTAAGCTACACAGACCACAGCCAGTAGGATTTTCTAAAGGTACAGCACTGCCCTAATTCTGTTCCAATCTTGGAAATGTAACTTCAACCTCAACAGCATATTTCAAATATACACACGTGATCCTTTACCTTTAATAACAAAGGCTTCAGCCACCAGACGCAGCATGTACAAAGGTTCATCTTTTGTTGAGAGGTCATCAATTCCTGCTTTTGCATACATGCTGATGGCATCTCTGTAGGATCCCTCTACATAATGAAGCTTTCCAAGGATCAGCATCGTTTCGGTCATATATTTAGGCTGAAAAGGAGGTGGGGGAAAAGAGTGAATACATGGTAAATAACAGACAGCACAAATGAGGTACTCAAGAACAAACTGAGCAAAACTAAGAATGCTTTATTCTTAACCTTGCCAACTACACAGGTTGGAGTAAGAAGGATTTAAGCGTCTAGTGATTTTTGGGATAAGCTTGTGAGAGAAGCAAACCACAGATGTCAAGGACCTACTCTGAAGTAGCTGACCCTATTCTATTCATTCACCAGCCTCTGCTAACACAAAAGCTTACCAGTGTCAGAACTAGCCACATACACATAAATCCCCTGCATTGAAACTAGGGAGAAAGTGTTTAGTCAGCTACTATCCTCTCCTCCATACCTTTAACTAAAGAGCAGGAAAGCTCCCAAACTTTCTCAAGGTAGATAAAAAGAAAGCAAGTCTACCATTTTTAAGATTTGACTGGTTTCCTAAGGATTGAAAACATCCATACAAACTGATGAAGAAAAAAAAAAAATCTCAGTAAAATACTAATGTTCAGACCCTTCTTGTGCTTCAGAAAGCATGAAGTGATTCCTAACTCTTTGCCCTCCTTTTCTCAACACACTCAATCAATACAGGCCAAATCTTACATCAGTAGCTAAGTCATCTCCAAGAAAGAAACAGTAATTGCAATTCCTGAAGCCAAACCTAACACTAAGACCTGAGAAAATTCAGGGGTTCCATCTGTTACTGAGGTTGAACGCATTATGCTTCCTTCCCTAACCATATATTTTTTAAATATACTGACTTCCAAGAAGTTAACAAGGAGCACCCCTGGGACAAAAAAAACACTAAGCATGTGTGCCACAGCAAGCAATCCAAGTATAACACACACTTCAAGGATAACTAGCCCATAAGTTTCAGGACTAAAAGTAATACAAGTCTAGAACTTCAGACTTGTAATTCATAGACTTCTTAAAGCTATTTTTACAACTGTGTCTCCAAGGATGCCAGCAATTGTTGATCTTGAAACTTTCCTAAAGCTCTGCAGCTTAGCTTATGTGCAGCTACAAACCATGTACCCAGACCATGAAATAAACCTGAGGCACAATTTCACCTAACTTCTCTAGCAGAGGCTGAGAGAAATGCCAGGCTGTAATACTGGACCTGCACTACAAACTCAGACACCCAGCAGCTGCTCACAGCAGGTCTCACATCCATCAGGAGCTGCATACAGTTCCCTCAGCCCATGAGCAGCAGGAGGTCCAGCAGACAGGCTAACCCAGCAACACTGTTCTGTGGCCATGCCCCAACACTGCAGAGAGCTCTACCTCTTTCTCATCAAAAATAAACAGTATATATTTGCAGCACATCATCTGTTTGGATGCACTACATCCAACAGAAGATACTGCAAAGGGGCACTGAATTACCAGTACATCAGTAATGCCTACAAATACAGCATGATACACAGAGGGACATGATAAGGCAATGTCCTTCCTATCAGGCTAACAAGTGCATAAGAAAAGTATCAGATTAACAGGAATCACAGTGACAGAGCCCACTTACTCGCAGTTTTCCTCTGATTAAGACATTGGTCAGATGCTGCTTAGCCTCACTCAGTTTTGGCTCATTCCTCTCTGTCAGTGGAACAGAGTCCTTCAGTTTGGCAAAGTTTTCCTTCAAGCATTCTTCCAGCAAAGCTTCTGCAAGCAGCATACTCCCATAGTCCTCTGAAAGCACACATCAATCAACAAGAAACATCACTTAAGAGCTGATCACTCAAGAATGCTATTTTTATAATATAAATAGCGTTAAATTAGCAATTAAATAGTGTTAAAGAATACACCACCTTCAAGAGACAGAAATAGTAATAACCCCTAGAGACAGTAAGAAATAATGGGGGGGGGGGGGGAAAGGGGAAGAGAAGTTGCACTAACTCCGAGCTACTTGAAACCTTATGACACTTCCTTTTAACCTGAAGATCTCTCCCCGATAGGATCCTATAGCTTTGACAGCACAGTTCATTCTCGCGCTAGAGTGACACGGCTGCAAACCAACAGGTAATGCTTTCAGAGCAACCAAACCGCTGTTATGCTTAAGGGAACAAGCCAAAGTCCCAGCTCCACGCGCCACAGCCTCGCTCCTCAGCGGTTCTCCCACGGACAGGCGAGGCGCAGCCCGCGCTTCAGCCCAGACGGGATCCTCAGAAGACAGCCGGTTCGGAGCCCTGAGCCGGGGGGCTTCAGCACAGCGCTCCGCCGAGCCGAGCACAGTGACCCACGCACGGAGCGCCCCGCTCGCCCCCGAGCCCCGCCGCAGCAGGGCTCCGACCTGCTGAGCACAGAAGCTTACCCGTTTCCTCCGTGCCCCCCGCCGCCGCTTTCCGTCGGGTGCGTGCCGGCGGCAGCAGCTGCTGCTGCACCAAGAGCCGGAGCTGCCCCCAGTGCCCCTCCGCCCGGCACCGCTCAATCTCCCCCTCCAGCTTCACGTGAGACAGCGGGCCCTTAGCCGCCATCTTAGCGCGCGCGCGCCCGCCGTGTCCGGCGGCAGCCCCCGGCCTGCACGAAGCCACCCAGACACGGCGAGGCGGGGCGAGGCGGGAACAGTAAGTACGCTTCCCCTGGCGCCGTCAGGCGAGCTAGGGGCCGCCTCAATCGCGCGAACCACGCCCCTCACTGTAAGCCCCGCCCCCTCCGTAAGACCCGCCCTCGCCCCGCCCACTCTACCTGGCCGTCAGCGAACGCTCCACGTGGAATTCCAGCGGCGGTGACGTTTGGTGCGGCCGATGGGCGGGGCGCGCCTGCGCAGTAGCAGAGGGGCGGTGTGATGGTGGTGGGCCCGGCGCGGGAAGGCTCCACCTGCTGGGCACGGCGCGGTGGCTGCTATCCGCCGGCGGGTGCGTAGCGCGGCCGGGTCGCGGTGTAGCCGCGCCGACGGGCAGGGCCGGGCGTAGGGCCGCTGTCACGGCCCCCTTCTCTGGGCGCCGGGGAGGGCGGGGGATAAGTGTAAACAACGGCTGTGCTGGCTTCACGGTGTCCGGATCGATGCGCCGCGGTGCTGAGCGCGAACTTTGGCCCCGTTATCGCGGGCAGGGCTGCGTTCTGGAGTTCGGCCGGGCTGTTTCGTCCCGTTTTGGTCTAAGGGAGTGTATGTGTGCGTGTGTTCTTTTTTCCAGGAGACCACGATGGCCCCCGTGAGCTTTAGGAGCCCTCTGCTGTTCTGCCTGGTGGCCGCATGGCTCGGCCCTGTCCCGGCCGAGGAGCCCGCGGCGGAGAGTCTGTCCTCACACGGCCGCCTCGATAAGAACTTGGTGCAGGATAAAGAGTAGGTGCTCTGCGAGTACGAACTTCTCCGTGCTTTGCTCGTCTCTGAAGTCGGGTTACGTGAGCTGGGTCGCAGCCTGGGGCACCCTCTTTCCTCGCGGTGTTGTATGAACGGGTGGAGTCAGAGATGAGGCATTCGCTCAGTAAGTTTAGTAGGGATGTGAGGTATATGGAAAGGTCGTACTGGACCTTTAGTCCCGTTCACAGTATGAATCATTCCTTACAGGCATCTTGGCTACCTAGATCAGCATAACATAAACAAAGCTGTGTTTTAAAGAGGTAGGGGCGAGTTTTATTCTTCCTTGCTTCTTCATACATAAAAGAGACTTGGCAGCAATGACATTCCCTGCTTCACGTTTGACTGGGAGCGATCTTCCTCCAGTTACTGGGCTTTGGAAGGCAGCCAGAAGGAGATTCAGGGCACTGCTTCACTTTTCTATAATCTGTTAAGTAGGCCAGAAGAAAAAGGGACAGCTATCTATGATACCAGAGACCACTACAGCACCCGTAGCAGACAACCTTTGTACCCTCCTCATTTCATTATAAAATACCTTTCAGTTGTGGGCAGCCTGCAGGGTGCTTTAGAGATACGTGGTATCCATGTACTTGGCTGCTTGATCTAAGACTAAATTTTACGTAAATCAAGAATTAATAATTAACTGTTAACACAGTGTTTTGTCATGTTGTTTTTTTTTTTCTTTTTTTCCATAGCCACATCATGGAACATTTAGAAGGAGTTATTGAAAAACCGGAGTCTGAGATGTCTCCACAAGAGCTGCAGCTGCATTACTTCAAAATGCATGATTACGATGGCAATAATTTGCTAGATGGGTTAGAGCTTGCTACTGCTATATCACATGTCCACAAAGAGGTAGATGAATATTGTAACAGTTTGCGTGCTTAGAAAAAGTTCTGAAAAGCAGTTCGATGTAGAGCATCTACAATACACCTTCAGGGCAGTTACAGTACAACAGTTTGGTCTGAAAATGAGACTGTCTCCCATTTGGTTTGACTTTGGTTTGACTTGAAGTCCTGGCTTCATCACAGTGTTTCACATCACAGTTTTCAAGAAGACTCCACTGTAGTTTAAACTTCAGTGTGAATGAAGAGTGGAAGTGATTTGATAGAGAGGATTCTTCGATTGGCAGAGATGGGGAGAGGAGAAAGGGAAATTATCCAAATTGGAATTAAGCTAAAACAAGGTTATTGAAGTAGCATGTGGTGATGCTGCTGCAGGTCCTGAGACTGCTGTTTTCAATTCGAAAATGTCGCTGCTGTGAGTATGCAAAGTGCAGGAGACCTCTGCACATAGTGTGACAAGAACCAGTCATAGCGTGCCTTTATCTTTTCCTAAACACATTGTCATCCTGGCTATGAACATTTAAGGACAAATGGAGATATAATTGCTTTGGGAAGATAATGCTGACACAATATCTCACACTGACCTTTCAAAAATTTCAATTCAGAATATAACTTCATGTATATTGTTTTGAAAGGCAGAGAATGTAGACTTAATAGCTTGCATCTGGTAAAATTTGCTTATATTGAAATAAATAATTACATAACACCTAGTGCCACATTAAACATCAAACATGAGCTGCTTAACAAAAACCAGTTGTCAGTAATCTGTCAAATGTGCAGCTGCATGAGAAAGATGGCTTAACTGTTGTCTTGTTTTTTTGTTGTTGTAGGAAGGTGGTGAGAATACCCAGGCAATGAAAGAAGAGGAGCTAATTAGTCTAATAGATGACGTCTTAAGAGATGATGATAAGAACAATGATGGATACATTGACTATGCAGAATTTGCAAAATCACTGGAATAAGGTTTTGAAGGGGGCTTGTTTCTCCATCTAACAGAATGGGAATGTGACCCAGTATAATGTGATTTATTAATCATGTCAACCTTTGTGCTGAGGTATTTGTGAGCTGAAGTGTCCAGTTGAATTTGTTTGCAAACTCTGTGTGTTAAGAGGCTGGCTAATCTCAGAATGGTAGCCACGCTTGACTAAAAGTAGGTACGTATATGAATCTCGAATGATGGAAGCATCAAAATATTTCCATAGGCCACAGCTGGCAAACTCTTAAGCTAAATGTGAATACTTAATACAATCAAATACAATCCAAATTCCTCTTTTTTTTTTTAATTGAGTTGTATAAAACTTGTTTGCTTATGTCTTCTACTTTAATTTATGACATACCTACAAAGAAAAGATGATGACTGCGTGAAGTTGTATATAAAGAAGAAATTTCCTTTTTGCTAATTTCAAAGGAAATTTTCATAGTATGGTGCTTGAAACAGCAATTGTAGAAGATGAAGGTGGTTTGTGTTTGAGGTCCCTCTGATACCATATGGACTTTAATACTATCTCCAAAGAAATCGAGTATTTTTAAATATATGTACTTGCTAGCATACCCTTACACATTTATATATAAATGTACACTTTTCAGTTTCTTCTCATCCTTCACAAATTTACTTTTTATTTTTAAATTTTTCTCTACCTTTCGTGGTCTTTTGTTAAGAAAATGAAAGTATTTTTAATTCATATACAATGTTGTATTAATGCTGCATAACATCTACTAGAATACCTTCTGCTATCTCGTTTTGAAGGTCACATTAACTGTAAACCAGCTCAATACTGAACTTTCTTTTCAATTTGGTTCTTAAAGTATCAGCCAGCAGGATAATCTGTGAGCAAGTAATGCTGCCTTGTTGAGGTTTAATTTCATATTTCTTGACACATAAGTTACAGTGTTACTTTCAGGAGGTATTTAATCGCTGTTTAAGGATACTTGAATGTCTGTAAACAAACATGGTTCTAGGAATGTTTTCACTGTCCTCAATACTTGCTAGGTCAAGCAGTTTAAGGATGTGATGTACAGTGATGTACAATGATGTGCTGCTGCTTTATTGACATATGGTTACTATTAAGCATAGCTGAAATCTTAAATTGCATTCAAACACTGTCCATGAATAGAAAATCTAAATGTTAGCATTTCTGTAAAGTGCATAAAGAGCTATTTTCTGTACAAAATTATTCTTATACAAGAGAAACACATTTGTAAAAGAAATTATTCCATTTGTTTAAATGTTTGCACAATGGATCCTGTGTTGGACTTTTTTTTTTTTTGTAATAACTACTTTGTGACCAGGCTCATGCTGGTTGTACAAACAATAAAAAGAAGTTGGGATTGTAGCACTTAGGAGCCAACGTGTAATGTGGGAAGTTCTAGTGAGGCATGTGCTTAATTTTCCAATAGAAAGCCCATCTGTGTTACTAGCAGAAATCTTAAAAACAAAATAATTATTTTTTATTTCCATGGTAATAAATTTGGAGTGAAAGTTGAATCTGAAGAAAGTACAGCGAATTGTTAATGGATGGGAAGGGAAGGGAGACAGAGGGCTCTGAACATTTAAAGATTATTGATCCTGGCAACTCTTACGTGCTTATTTCATAAGCTTTTTTTGGAATTACATTGGACCAAGAAACTGACTTCTATGTCCAGCTCTTAAGAATCATTGTTTACTTATCAAGTGCAGTGGTCTTAGAGACTAAGAAAAATGCTTAAGCTTAGTCTAGCAACCAGTTACGTGGCATGTATTTATATAAATGTCTTGTTTACATGGTTATTAATAGTTATCCTATGTGGCAAGGGATGTCTTGTATCAGGAGTAATGATGATAAATACAGATATTGTGGATAGCATTTTTTACCAAATAATTTAAACATGTTTTTATGGAGTCAGAAGCTTGTATAAATTGAGAAATTGCTTGCCAAAAATGGAGAATAAAATCGGCACCTTTCATTTCACAGTGCTTTAAGAGAGAGTAAAGTAAAAGTTCTGCTTTCCTAGAAAGATGTACAGCTCTTGAAATATCCAAGCTGAAACCTGCAGCATCATGTGTTTAATCATCATCCTAAAACAAAGACATCCATTTAATTAAGTGCACTTAAAGATAAAAGGTTGAGTCAATTTTTTTCAATTTTTTTTTTATAGTTTAAGTAATTTGTGTGCTTGTTGTAACTCATGCAGTACCCTAAATATGTTGGTACAAGTCATGTAGACATACAGTGTTCTCCAGCTTGAGTATTTAATGGAGAAAACAGGGCCTTTATGGCAGAAGTACTCACCAGCTAAAAAGCTGCTTTACCTGCTGAAGAACAGTACTGTCTATTTCACAGTTAAGATAATAAATGGATAATAAAGCAGGAGAAGTGTTTGATACTGAGTGTTAACTGCATCCCCGTCAGAAACAGAAAGCTAGGATAAAACCTGTGCAGTCTTCGTCCCTTCCAAGTCTATGATCTCAGGGAACTAGAATTAGTTTTCCCCATTAGAGGTACATCTGGCCTTACATTACTGTACACCGTTTAGTTTAGTTAAAGCATCTAGATTGTCTGCTTGGACCTTAAACAGTACTACCTAATCAGCAGCTAAAGAAAACACTTGAACTGATTCCTGAATATTCATAAACTGAGCTATTGGTCACTGGTCCACCTAGATCACAGTCAAAAGGGGAGAAGCCTTTTTAAAAAGTGCAAATTATTAATGCCAAAATGCTTTCAGCAACTGTTTTGTTTGCAAACTCGCACAAACTTCAGTATCTTCTTTTGGCTCATAACTTGTGGCCTCAAAATGTCTTAAATTCATTACAAAATGGTTAAACTTACAAATCCTGATCTCATCTAAAGCATTTTCTTAATATTGGCAATTTGCTAGAGTGGAAACAGTAATTCAGGAATGATGTTCTCCTCCTTACAGCCACTAGATAGCGTATCAACACCACAAACTTGTTCTTGGCAGTATGCAACTTGAAGTGATTCATAATGGATTTCTTTACAGTATCAACCACTATCGTGAATACCAGCAAGGCCTGCTCCTCTGTCTTTTAACAAGAGCATGTTGCCAATACAATGCTGGTTACTACTAATTCATTTTCATTGCTTAGGGACTCAAACCTGCCTGAAGTGACAGTAAAGCAACTGATGTAATAGTGTCAGTAAAAACAATGTTGTAACAGAAGGCTTCATAAAGCAAGCACCAGGCCTGACTTGACTTCTTGACCATCACTAGTTGTTGACCACTATGAGAAGGACTGCTGAGGTATCAATAGTAGTCTCAAACAACGTTAGAAAATGTTAGGGGTTTTTAGTAGGACCTGAAGCCTCACCATTTTTGCATCTCAAGTTAGTAAGAGTCTCTTATTATGAGACATACTTACAGTGTGAGCTGATGTTAAGCTTAAGCGTTGGCTTAAAGTACAATCTCCTACTTTCTTCATCTCCCCCATGACATTGTCACTGTCTGCCTACTGCATCAAGAAACAATTCTAAGTTTTTAGCCAACAAATTAAAACAAGGATCATTATATACTTTAGTCTGTGTTATTTACCATCACAAAGAGTTTGTGCTCTAAATGTTTCATTGGCACAGATAGCTGTCTGTATTGAATGAGACCTATTATAAGAACAATTATTTGTGCCTTACAGAAAGTTTAAGTTCGGTTACGTTTTTGTTCCTGCTCTTCTAAATTCTGAAACATCCTAAATATAAGAGCTAATACATGCTCTAATTGTCACTACCTTGCTCAGCTGAGTGGCAGTTGTGCACTTAGGTAGAGGGCAGCGTAACACACGACTCAAAGTATACTGTCAGGTATGACATTTTACAAGAATTCAGTTCTGCAATGAAATAGTGTCAACCTCTGCCACTTAATCCCAGTGACTGACAGCAATATATGTCAAGAAGGCAGATGTCAATAAACCCAGAGAATGGGTAGGGAAGATCTCATAGAAGGCAAACCTCGGGGAAAAACAAATTACAGAGAGCTGTCAGCTCCTTCAACAAATGCTAATAAGAAACCAATTGCAAGCTATACCACTTTTGAGGAAGGAAAGGAAATTCAGCACAATTTAGCTAATGTATAACATTTTAATTGACCACAAGCATGAGAGAGATCGGTAAAGAAGAAAGTAGGTCAGCTAGTGGAGAGCATACAACAATATGTCATCCATAAGTGTATGTATATATCATAGAATCAGAGAATCGTAGAATGGCTTAAGTTAGAGGGGACCTTAAAGCTCATCTGGTTCTAACCTCCCTGCCATGGGCAGGGCTGTCACCCACCAGCTCAGGCTGCCCAGCACCTCATCCAACCTTGGGTAGAATGCTTTCAAGGAGGGGGAATCCACAATCTCTCTGCGCAATCTGTTTCATCATCTCACTGCCCTCTGAGTGAAAAACGTCTTCCTAACATCTGACCTAAATCCATTTACTCCATCCTATCACTATCAGACCATGTAAAATGTCAGTCTCTCTACTGCTTATAAGCACTGGAAGGCTTCATTGAGGTCTCCCTAGAACCTTCTCAAAGCTAACAAGCCCAGTTCCATCAACCTTTCTTCACAGGAGACATGTTCCAGTCCTCTGATCATCCTCATGGCCCTTCTCTGGACCTGCTCCAATAGCTCCAAAACCCTCCTGTACTGGGAGCCTAGACCTGCACATAGTGCTCCAGATGGTGCCTCACAAGGACAAAGCAGAGGGACACAATCAGCTCCCTTCCCCTGCTGGCCACCCCTCTTTCGATGCAGCCCAGTATACTGTCAGCCTTCAGGGCTACGAGAGCACACTGATGGCTCATGTAAAGCTTTTCATCCATCACGTCCCCCAAGTCCTTTTCCAGGGCTGCTCTCTGCGAGTTCTTCTCCCAGACTATCACAAATACAGTCAGTAAAGAAAGAGTACAAAAGGTGCAACTAGCAAAACATATTAGAAGCTGTCGAAATTTCACAAGTGGCGTTGAAGAGAAAAACGAAAGACAGATGGGGGAAGCTGTCAGCAGAAGATGTTAGGAGTGTGAGAGTTTAATGGAATTTTTTTGCCCTTTCTACTAAAAAGGCAAGAAAACAGTGCAATGAGTACAAGGGAGAAAAGTGTTAAAACTTCAGCCTAAAAAATGAGAAATCTGCCTAGAAAGTAACCCATTAAATTAGATGTTTTTAAATTGCCTGGGCCCAATCAGCTTCACTCTAGTAGTCTTAAAGAGGGTGAAGTAATGGCCATAAGTGTCATATTACTCAAAATTATTTATTTAATGTAGGGTTTTTTTTGCAAAGCCTTTGGAATACTTCCTCATAAACAGG